CCTACGTTCAGGGGACCAGGAAGAACACCAGCTTAGCTTGTGAGACTGTATTGTCACCTTTTCCGCAGGAGGACTCTTGGAAACCACAGGCACCTGTGTCCTCTCTGTCACCCACTTGTCTTTGCTGCCCCCATCACGAAGAGACCGGGGCTTCCTATGGATCCCATGAAGGACTCTTGTTACTTCCCACTCTGGCTGCCTGGGAGACCCCCGCCTCCACACAGACGGCCAGAGAGTCTACAGTAGACGAGGCCAGCAGGGCTCACAGGGAGGCGGGAAAAGCAGAGTGGGGACAGGAGACAAAAAGGGAAGACACAGAGCGTGGCATTCTGTAGAAGCAGACTGGAGGTAGTGGCTTGCAATGGGCTGGGGCGAAACCAGGGGCCTGGTATTTGTGCCACTAGCCTGGCAGGCACTGGCAGGGAGGCTGGCCTTGGCGATGACTGAGTCTCCCCACCCCCAGTAGCCAGGGGCCATCTCTTCCAGGCCCTTCAGGAAGACAAACCGCCTCCCTGTCCTTGCTCTCTTCCAGTTCACCATCGCCCGCCCAGACATCTCTGGCTGTGAACACGCCTCTGCCAAGGAGCAGGCTGAAGAATCAGGACTGCACGAGAGGATGGGGAACATGCGGGGGTAGAAGCTTCCTGAAGGCCCATGGCACAACCTTGCCGTGTGGGTTGACCCTCCAACCTTCATTTGGTATGGAGTTGAGGAGCCGTGTCCTACAGTTTCTGGAGGAGAGTAGAAGGATTTCAAGTGAAATTTGACAAGGCCCGGAACATTGCACGTTTCCATTCTTCTTGCTGTTAATGTGTTTATGCCATGCAAGTGCTCTGCCACGGGCTGGCCATTGCCCCAGAGGCACATTGAGATTCCGGCTACGCTTTGATTTTAGCCTTGCTGGTTGTGGTAGAGGCTTTGTTACCTATGGCAGCAATCTTTCTTTCTCTGAGTGATCACAACACCAATATAAATTAAGACAGATCTAGTTATTATTATTATTATTATTATTATTATGATGATGATGATGATGATGATGATGATGATTGCAAATTCCAGAATGTCCCGGGATCTCCAAGGTCTGGAAGATGGAGATGGTTGGCATTGGGGCATAAACACACGGATGTGTGTTAGACTGGCCCTTCTGGGCTAAACTAACAGAGTGTGATTTTAAGGTTCCGTAAAACCTGGCTTACCAGCGGATCTGTCCTTGTATCTAAGATCCCTTCAGTCTCTGTCCTGCTTTGACTGACCCCGGAGACACGTTTATGTCAGCTGGGCAGGGTGTTCTGTCACCTGGGAGGGGCGGTATGTTAGTCATCTACCACTCTAATAAGAACTAGTCTCTTCATATTTTGTTAAGACATGGGGACATGGAGTTGAGGAGTCCCAGGCAGGAAGATTTGGCTGTAAGCAGTGAGGAAGGCAAGGAAGACTGAAGTCCTGTTCCTCAAGTAATGGGAAAAGGCACTGGCTGGATTAAGGAGGGGTCTGGGGTAGTGGAGACAGACACATCAGGGACAGACAGTGTGCTGGCTAGTTTTATGTCAACTTGACACGAGGTAGAGTCATCTGAGAGGAGGGAGCCTCAGTTGAGGAAATGCTTCCGTGAGATCCAGCTGCATGCAGGTCTGTAATTATGTTATTAATTAGTGATTGATGGGGGAGGGCCCAGTCCACTGTGGGTGGAGCTAGCCCTGGGCAGGTGGTCCTGGGTTGCAGAAGGTGGGGGAGACTTGTTGACAAATCAGAAACCATCTTTTGCCTTTATTTCCATTTTCCTTCTTTTAAGGAGTTAGACTTAGGGATGGCTCAGCCGTTAAGGGCACTTATTCTCGCAGAGGACCCAAGTTCAACTCCCAGCACCCACATGATGACTCACTTACGATGAGCTGACGCTTTTTTCTGACCTCCACAGGCACCAGACAAGCACATGGTGAACACATACACACTCAGGCAAGACATTCATATACATTAAATAAATCTAAAACAAAACAAAACAAAACACAAAACAGATAGTCTTTCTATACGGACTAGGTTTCACGGGCTCAACTGACAAGAAGCGCGTCTCTGAGCCCTTCACCCCAGGCTGACGAATGTCAATCATCCTGCCAAGAGAGAAACAAGAGCTCTTCCCCGCTCCCCTTGGCCACCTCCTGGTTCCACCTCATGACATCCTTCTGCAGGGTCCCATTGTGGCTCTGCTTTCAGGCCAGCCTGTTGTTCTGGGGAGGAAAAGGAAGGACCCTGTTGAGATGGGACCGTCACTACAGAGGCACTCACTGTGCCTGTGACTGGGCCCATTGGCAGGAGCAGGATGGCCCTGATTTGTGTCTTCTTGCCCAGCCAAGGACTGTTCTGGGGGCTTTCTGCACATTTCCCATTTCACCGTCACCCCCAAGAGCACCAAGAAGTCATCCTCGGGCCAGTAGGGTCTCCGCAGTTCAGCGAGACCACGCAATTGCACGTGGGTTACCCTGCTGGAGTGAGGCAGAGTCAGGTCCAAATGCAGGCCTGCTCCTGTTTGGATTCCTTTGACTGCTTCTAGACAGCCTTCTCTATGAGGATGCAACGTGATTCCGTGGGAGGACACTTCCAGGCAGGGCAAGTAAGTTAACTCTGGAAGTCATCACCTGTCTGCGGTTACATGGCTACCTCAGTGCGGAGGCTCAGCATTTCCCCAGAGTCCGATGCCTTAAACCTTTGGCAGGGATTAAAAATGCCACCAAGCCCATGGGGCTGCTACGAGGCGTGGGTGAATATATCCACTTAAATAGCACAGCATCTTTCGCATAGTTAAGTATTTAATAAAAGTCATTCTTATCTCGTTCTTTCACTTTACTCAGGACTGGAAAGCTCTTGTGCCAATGTCTGCACTTGCATGCTTATTACCGCCCTATTACAAGATATGAATGTGATACCCGGAGTAGAGTACTGAGTGGAATGTGTCAGGGGCTGGAGGACAAATGCTGAAACTCTGCATGCTTTCACTTAAATGATGTCATATTAACTTTCCCCGGGAGAAACGTGGGAAAAAATAGGACGCCTGTGAGGGATCAAAGTAATAATTGCATCCAAGTCCAACCTAGTGAACCAATGGGTTTACTGGTTCATTTATAACAGGAACACAGTGAGGGCTACTGACAGGAGCTTGGGTGATTCAAAACAGTTTGAATCTAAGGTCCTACCTCATCATGAGTGGTGGCCGCAGAGAAACTGTATCATTGAGTCCTGCCTTCAGTCAACCTCCTACTTCATATACACACATGTATGTCCTGGAAACACCCACGATCATGTGACAATTTGGTGGTAGGGCGGGGCAGGGGGAGTTATGATTACAATCCCAGCCTAAGGTCCCGTGTTTACTAGGATGTTAACTGTCCCCTTACTGTTACCACAGACCTAGTTGTCACTGTATTGTTCTGTGCCACGGCCACGACTAGAGGGCCAAAGTTACTTTTCCTCTAAGATGGTCATGGCGTGGTCATGCCTTGGCTGGTGGAAAAACTGATACGATGGCGTAGGTAGAGGTTAAAAAGATGATCCCACAGGAGCACAGACTAGGACAGTTGTTCCCAGAGCCTGGGGAAGACACGAGGGAGGATCAGATGTAGAGAGAGGCTTGAGAACAGGTGCCGGGGTACAGCTGGACAGGAGGAACAGCCTACAGTTTTCCAACAGCAGGGTAGGATACCCACGGTTGGCAACAATTAATTGAATAAAATAATAGTAAAGAGGATCTGAAATGTTCTCAATACAAAACAAAATAGTGTCTGAGGTGATGGATATGCACAGTGTACCCCACAAATAGTACAGTTGTTATACAGGTGTAAAACATACTTAAAAAGGCACGAGAAAGGGCTGGCAAGAAGATTCAGTGGGTAACTGCTTGCCTCAGAAGCTTGCCCGTCTGAGTTTGCCCCTCAGAGCCCACAGTGGAAGGAGAGAACAGATTTCCAAGGTTGTCTTCTGTGCTCACCTGCCTCCTCTCTCTCTCTCTCTCCCTCTCTCTCTCTCAGATGATGATAAAAACCAACCCCGAGTGAACCAGAGATCAGAGCTACCTAGTCTAAGGAGGTGACTGATGTTGATGGAGGTGTGGGCCCGCTGTTGTGGATTTTTTGAAATCTCCTTTTGAAGAATCTCATCCAAGATTTCACTATTTTTCTTTTCTTACACAGAGGCAATTTATTAACAGAAATTGACTGTGAACCTTCTTCCTGCAGATTCTGTCAGAGAATGGGGTGACATCCTATAGGAAATGAAGGCTGAGTGACCCCAGGTTCAGGGGTCTTGGTCCGGAGTTTGAGATGCAGGGCTATGACGACCAGCCAGGGGAGGGCTCATTGCAGGCAGCCTTTATCCCACCAGTCACTGGATGGGTGTTTTCTTTGCTAGAAAGACCAGAGACACGGAAAAGTTACTACCACCGAAGGATGCATGCAGAGGCATGGCAGACACCAAACCCATTTTTTCCTCCGGTCGCTTGTGAAAGGTGGATTTGTTTTCCCATCTCTTCCTTCTCTTTTCGAGTTGTTTGTTGTCTCCAGGCGCCGTTACCAGAAATCAGAGGGGATCTTTACCAGTTTGGAAAAACGGCTAGAGCCTGTCTCAAAATTGGAAAAAAGTCTGAGGACGTAGCTCAGGGGTGGAGAAGGTGCTTCGCATCTGCAGGGCTCAGGCCAATTCCTACTTATTTATTTATTTATTTATTTATTTATTTATTTATTTATTTATTTATTTTTAAGATACAGATCGCAAGGCTGTCCTCAGCATCAGCCTCTGGAGCTCTCTACTTGCCAAGCGGAGATCCATCCCATTTTCCGCAGGTCTCGAGTCCTGCACGTGCCAGCGTGTGTGTGTGTGTGTGTGTGTGACCCTTCCTGCCAAACTCACAGCGGTGTGTGTGTGTGTGTGTGTGTGTGTGTGTGTGTGACCAAGGAGCGACTGACTGCAGAGGCGGAATTTCGGGCGTCCCGAGCGTGTGGTGGCGGAGCGGGGTCCCCTGGAGAACGGTGTCACCAGCAGGTGGCGCGCTAGCCGCAGGCCCCGCGCCGTCCCCGAGCCGAGAAACTTGCACAAGCCGTTAGTGCGGGTGTTGGAGCCGAGCGGTCCCCGGAGCCGAGCTCAGCTGTTGGCTCCCGCGGGAAAGTGGCCAGAGAAGGGAGCGGACACCCTGCCGGTCTCCGGGTGGGCTCCACGATCTGGACATCGTGTGCTTCCTTCGCAAAGGCTCCGCGAGCGGGTGAGTACCGGGCAGCGTCCGGGGAGCCGATTCCCGAGCCTGTGAGGCGTTGGCCTGGGTCCGCACCGCGTGGCATCCCGCCCCTCGAGGACCGACGCTTCCGGGTGGAGGCTGCGGGCACAGCAGCCGGGTGCGCACGAAAGCCCGGGAAAGCGGGCGCGCTGGAACCCGCGCTCGCCGGAGGGCGTGCGCGCGCCGCCGCCGCCAGGGGGCGCTGCGCGGCTTGCTCCCGGCCGGCCGCCAGTCACCCCGGGTTCCCGCCGCCGCGGCGGCCGCTCTAGCCGGCCGGCGCTGCTCTGTGGTTCCGGGCGGAAGTGAGGCGCAGAGCGGAACGGCCTCTGGTGACATTTTCTTGGGGCGGCGCGGACGACTGAAGGGAATTGGCGGCGGAGGCTGCGGAGGCGGCGGGCTTTACTCTGCTGTCCCCTCGCGCCCGGTCCCCCGTGCCCCGCGCCGCCCCGCCTGGCCGCCGGGAGTTGAGTGAGGAGCGGGGGGCGGCGGGGCCGCGGCGGCCGGAGCCTGCGGCCCGTCAGCGTCGCCCGCGGTGGGCGCGTGCCCCGTCGGGGCGCGCGGGGCCAGCTCCGAGGCGCGGACGGCGGGGGCAGGTGAGGCGCGGGGCGCGGGGCGCGGGGCGCGGGGCGCGGGGCGCGGGGCGCAGGCTGCGGCGCCGAGGCTGAGGACGGGCGGGCCGGGCTGAGTGAGGGCTGCGCGGCGCCCGAGCGTGGGGTCACGACGGCGGAGGCGCGGCCCGGACCCCTGCGCTCGCCCGGCCGCGGGTCACCCGCGCGTCCTCTACCCGCCCAAAGCGCCCGGCGGCCCGGGCCGCCCGCAGCGACGGCCCCGGCGGGCAGCAGGGACCGCAGCCCCCGGGCCGCAGAGCTGTGTTGGGGCAACTTTGCGCAGCCCCGGGCCGGGCGAGCCGCCGAGGCCACAGCCCCGCCAGCTCGGCAGCCGAGGCTGGCGGGGACCCCGGCTCCACCGCGGTGGCCTTGGAGGAGCGAGAGGCGGCCGCCCGGGCTTGGTACCCGCCGCTCGTCCCTCCCGCGTCTGCCCGTCCGCGGAGACGGACCTGCGACTTTGTCAACTTTAGTTAGAGGCCGGCGCGGATGAAATCTGACGACCCCCGGCTTAAGGGCTGATGCCTCCTCGCCCCGATTTCTCAGAGCACTCCCCCCCGCCCCACTAGTTACCCTAAAGCACTCGTTTTGACAGCGTATCTTGACAGTGTTCTTGGAGGAAGAACCCGCGCGGCCCTTCCACATCCTCCACCGACCGCTTGGGCAGTCTTGTGTTTGCGGTTCTGCATCTTTGCATCTATTTGTTTGAAAGTCCCACTGAGGATGGCTTTGTAAAGGTTGGGTCACTTAATTATTAATGCATCCGACCGTCTGCTTAGGTACGTACTGGGTAGTATAGTTAGGTGCGTGCTAACAGTTCGGATCACCCCCTTTCTCCTCTTGGGGTATCTTAAGGGTGCAGGCTGTTACCTTTGTAATGTACTTTTTGCTGATTCTGGCGATCTGGATTTCTCGGGTAATCAGAGCATTGCCTTTTGGTTTAAGTAGCAGTTCAGACCTACACTTGATAGGTATCTTCTGCTCGCTCTCCTTTTTTTTTTTTTTTTTGGAGGACCATATTTAAATGCTAATACAATGTTAAGTAGAGTGCATTGTCCATAGTAGACTGTTGATAACTATGTGATTACTAATTAAATTTGAATTTAGGAAGCCAAGATGAACTTGACTTCTGTGACCTACATATTACTTTAAAAAGAATTTGACTGGAATTTTAATTCATTTCTCTTACATGAGAAAGAAAAGTACTTTTCACCCACACATTGACTTCCTTTAGAGTGTTTCTCAGTAATGCTGGTCTTTTGGTTTGTCTTGATTTTGACTTTTCAAGATAGGGTTTCTCTGAGTAGCCCTAGCTGTCTTGGAACTAGCTTTGTAGACTAGGTTGACCCTGAACTCAGAGATCTGTCTGCCTCTATCTCCCAAGTGTTGGGATTAAAAGCATGTGCCAGCCACCACAACTGGCTTTGTAATGTTGACTAAGCCCTACATAATAAAGGTAAGTTTAATGTTAACTTTCAAATACAATGCAATTCTGCTGGAGCTCTGGGTTCAGTGTATAGCCTTTAAAGATTTTGTTAGTAATGTTTGTGTTGACATTGATACTTATGAATTTCTTTATACTCATATTTCTGGTATTAATATTTTAAATTCCTTTTCTGAGCCAGGTGTGATGGCTTATGCTTGTAATCCAAACTTCGGCAAGAAGATTGCTTTGAGTTCAAGGCCAACATGGGAGGCATAGCATAATGAGACTCAGGGCCACCTCTGCTGTAGTGTGGGACCGAACTTCAAAAATAAGTCTGTTTACTACATAACTAATAATTTCTGTGAGTTTGTGTAGTAACTCATTACTCAAGTTGTTTTGCTAGGATCCCTAATCTTACAGTTTTACTCCAACATGTGCATGAATAGACAGGATGGATAGACAATTTGAGTGTTTTTCTCCCTTTTAAAAGTGGCAACCCAAACCTTAATTTGGTAACTTTAATAATAATTATCTTAGACTTTCATTTTCCTGCATATAACTAGGTGTATGCTTGAAACTATGCAAAAGGCTAAAAATAAGTTGTTAGTGTGTATTTTCTTGAAGCTGATTTTAGTATGTTACTGTTTTTCCATTTTGTTTTTTGAGACAAGGTTTCTTTATATAGTTGTGGCTAGTCTGATACTCACTATGTAGACAGCAGGCTGGTTTCTAATTCAGATCTGGATCTACCTGCCTCTGACCACACCAATGATTTTAATATATTACTTTAAGAAAGATGTTAGGCCCAAATTTTTCTTTGTTAACTATAATTATGTAGGCAAGGTGGAATAGGCATAATAATAACATGAGTAAAATGGTGATACCTATAAGAGATATGGAGAAAGAAAACAAAATAATCATGCGGGACTGTGTGTGTGTGTGTGTGTGTGTGTGTGACTCTGTGTGTGTGTGTGTGTGTGTGTCTGTCTGTCAGTCAGTCTGTCTGTCGGTCTGTGTCTGTCTTGGAGTCTGCTGTGTATCCTTGGCTGGCCTGTAACTCACAGAGATCCCACCTGCTTCTGCCTCACTGGTGCCGGGATTAAAGTTACATACCACCACACCCTGGCCTGATGTGGCACCTCTTTATCCATAGCCCTAAGCTATTGGTTGTTAACAGTTGCCAGCAGTTCCATAGAGCCATGATGGAGCATGCTCAAGAAACTTCAGCTTTTGTACTTAAGGTCTGAGGTGAGTTTCCAGACAAGCGAGCACTTCCTGAAAGGGAGCAGCCTAAGTGAAATCATGATTATCAAGCTCTGAGTTGCTCAGTGTAGCCAGAGCCTTGAGCTTTCAAAGGGTGGCAGTGGTAGACAGAGGCAGGGCCAAGTCATGAGGAGTTCTTAGTTTGCTGATGAGTTGTGAATTTTCTTTTAAGATGGCCCCTCCTGCCATCAGCTGGAATGAAAACTCAACTAAAGACAGAGTCCTCTAGCCCAGGCTGGACTGGAATTTGTGATCCCATATGTAGGGTTCAGAGTGGGAATTAATGGTGGGATTTCTTTGGTTTATTTATTTTTCCTTCCTTATTTGTGTGTGCCAGGGTGCATGTATGGAGAGCAGGGACGTCTTGGTTGTCTTACCATGTTGGTTGTTTCCAGGGGTGAAATTTTTCAGGTTTGGTACCAAGTTCCTTTACCCACGGAGCCATCTTCCTAACCTAGGGAGTCTTTGGTATTGTTTATTTTCAGTTTCCTCCCAGTGCTGGGGGTTGAACCCAGGGTGTTGTGTATGTGTGCTATGACAGCACTCTCACAGGGTTCTCACAGCCCTGCTCTTATTTAACCTGCTTCAATTCTTGGTCATCAGGCTAAAGAAATTAGATAGTGTTTTGTTTTTCTTTCAAGACAGGGTTTCTCTGTGTAGCTTTGGAGCCTGTCCTGGAACTCACCCTGTAGATACCAGTCTGGCCTTGAACTCACAGAGATCCACCTGCCTTTGTCTCCCCAATGCTGGGACTAAAGGTGGTGTGCCATCACCGCCCCACAGCAATTAGATAGTTTTTTTTTTTATCTAAAAACATTTTTAAGCTATTTACTTTGTGTGTGTGTGTGTCTGCCTACCTGCCTGCCTGACGGCCAAGTATGGAAGTCAGAGGACAACTTACAGGAATCCATTCTCTCCTATCATGTGGGTTTCTGGATCATACTCAGGTTGTCAGCTTTGGTTGCTGTATTAGTCAGTGTTCAGTTGCTGCGAAGAGGCATCATGATGAAGGCAGTTTACAGAAGAAAGCAGCATTTAATTAAAGACTTGCTTACAGTTTCAGAGGGCGAGTCCTTGTTCATCACAGTGGAGAGCAAGGTGGCAGGCAGGCAGGCAGGCAGGCAGGCAGTGAAGCAGCAGCTAAGACCTTACATCCTGATTCATAAGCAGGAGACAGAGCAGGGATCTGGGGAGACTGAAACCAGGCCTGGCCTGGACTTCTGAGACCTCAAAGCCCACTCCCAGTGGCATACCTCCTTCAACAAGGCCACACATAGCCCCTAATCCTTCCCCAAACTGTTCTACCAGCTAGGGACCAAGCATTCAGATGCAGGAGCCTCTGGGGTCATTCCCATTCAAACTGCCAAGCGCCTCTTCTGAGCCATTCACTGGCCATGGTAGTTATTTTTCTTTAGTAGCTTTAATTTGACTATTGTCATGAAACTTGACAAAAATTTTTTGATACTCTTTGTCTTTTAAATATACCTACTTTCTTTATTCTTTGAGAACTTAAGGGAAAGAAGCAGTACTTCTTGTGTGGGCAGCATCTCTCAGAAGAGTGGGATTGATGTTCAGTCGGTTTTCACACTCAGCCTACAGGCCCTGTGGTAAAAAGAAGGAGCAGGGCAAGATAAGAAAGTACACACACAGACACACACAGACACACACACACACACAGAGATACACACAGACAC